ATACAATGACCCTCCACTCTCTCTGGACCAGGCAACAGGGGAGAAGGAAAAGAAGGCAGAGTCTGACCCACAGAGCGAGAACACATTCCCTGGCCTCCACAGACTGGGCCAGAAGAACCCAGGGCAGGTCCAGCCTTTCCCTGCTCGCCCTTCCTTGCCCGTCTTCTGCTTGTAGTTCACAGAACTGTCTGAAGAAAGCCAAAAACGGCTGTCAGGCACGGCCTCGTCTGTGAACCAGGCCTTGTGAGAGGAAGCCACCCCTTCCACATCTTTCTAAGAAGAAAGAGCCTACGACATTAATGAGTCTTCAAGCCTTCTGAACTGCTGCTGGCAGGGCTGGCTGTATGGAAAGAGCACATGGCTATGAATGCCCTATTACCCATGGTGGGGGTAAGGGCCAAGTGTTTACCGGTTCTTGGTCTCTTATGCAAAGAACTGATATGAAAGTTTATACAAATTTGCAAAAATTGCAAGGAAACTTCAGTTAAAGCAAAGCAATAGGAAAGACCAGAATGTACTGTGAGGAACAGCAGCCTCCTGAGTGACAATGCTCAACAGCCCCTGTTCCTGTTGGGACTTCCCTTGACTAGATTCAAGAGAAGGAGGAGTTTGGTGACTAGGGGAATGCTGAGGTGGTTCTCTGTTTTGACTGATAGATTAAGTCACATAGTCATTTTTTTTCTACTGTGTCTCTTCCCAAAATGCATCTGATTTTAATCATACGAGAGCCTAATTACACACAGGCGTAAGATGATAAATAGGGTATGCTGGTTAGCTTTTGTCAACTTGACACAAACCTAGACAAACATAGGAAGAGGGAATCTCAACTGAGGAATTGTCTCCCTCAGATTGGCCTGCGGGATATGTTCTTGATTGCTAAGTGATGTAGGAGGGTCCAGCCCCCTGTGGACCACACCATCCCTAGGCAAGTGGCCCTGGGCTGTTCAAGCAGGCAAGGAACAGAAGCCATTAAGCAGCACTCCGTCGGCTCCTCCGTTGTCTCTGCTTCAGGTCCCTATTCCTGCCTCAGCTTCTTTCACTGACAGACCCATAGGCCAAATAAAGCCTTCCCTCCCCAACTTGCTTTAGGTCAGGATGTTTTGTTATAGCAACAGCAACAGGAAAGCAACTAGAGCATAAGGGATTCTCCCCAAAAGTTCACTTTAGGACACAGTTTTGCACTCAAATCCCATTCAGGCTTGATGAACTTGCCCTCAGCTAGGATGTACTAGGAATACTTTTGAATAGAAACTGCCAGAATTTGATAGAGAAGAGAAACATATCCAATTGTTCAGAGAGGGGTGAGGTACAGACAGACACAGGTGGGGTCTGAGGTTGTTAGTTGCATTGCTCAGAGAGGCATGTGTGCATATGTGTGTAGGCAGAGGAGCTAGACTGTCAAGGGTGTTAGCAGAAGGTAGGCACACACAACCCAAATCAGGTGGAGTCCTGGCTTATGCCACTAATCCCTAAGCTTCTCTACCTCACCCCACACAAGGCAGGAACAGCGCCACCATGCTGGGGAAACTCATAGGATATCTCACAGTGCTATTTCAGGAAGGTGAGAGGGCTCTGGGGCCCTCTGATTAAGTCTTCAGAGGTGTCCTTGTTACCTGGAGCTGCTAGCTTCAGAATGTGGCTCCTGACAACCCCCAAGCACTCCACATTCGGGCTTGCAGCACAGGCAAGCTAGGACAATGGCGATAGGCAGAGCTACAGACCAACCCAGACTGTCCTACTGTATGCCTCTGGCCATCTACTCAAACCGAAACCTCGTATTAGGACCCAGAGAGACAAAGGAAGCCATAGATCTCTTTGTTCTTCTTCCCACTGTAGCTAATCAAATCTCTCTCTCTCTCTCTCTCTCTCTCTCTCTCCCTCCCTCCCTCCCAAGTTGAGAACAATTCAAGCAAACCAAGTTGGTTTTTCTTTTTTTAGGGGTCCGTCAGGGCTCGGACTCTGATCCTAGTAAACCTGGTGACACAGTGACACCTCCACCCAAGTCTATACTTGGGGTCCTGACATAAGGTTCAGGTTTAAAGAGAAGGCAAGGGTTCCATATAACCACATCTGGTCAAGGTGTGGTCCCAGATATTATTATTGTCTCCAGTCTAGGCTCTCCTACAAGGTGGTCTAACCAAGTGTTCAGAACTGTGTGAAACCTCTTCCCAGAGGACAAGCTCCCCACTTAGCTGACACCAGCTCCTCCTTCTCTATCCTGAGACTCCTGGAAAATCCCAGTTCCCTTCATTGTCTCAGTAGACTGATATCCAAAGGGAGAGAGGCACACATGTCTTCATTCCTGTCAGGATGGCTACACCCTTTCCTGGAAATGTGTAGTCCCTTGCCTAGGCAGTGTGGTCTGGAGAACTGGAAGGCTGGGTTTCAGTGCCCAAACACAGGAAGGCCTGTCTTTGTACAGCTGCTGTGGTGAGACTGAAGGCTGATGGCTGGCAATACCCTCAACCCATGCCTACTCTAGCATTCTACAGTTGGTACCAAAGTGACAAACCTTCCTTATAGACAGAGCCAACCAGCAGTTCCTTCCACTGGCAAATACTTGCAAGCAAAACAGAAGAACTATCCTTTTAAAAAAAAAAAACAACCTATACTAATCATTTTATGTTTGCTTTCTACTGTTTGTTAGTTTTTATTACTATATTTGTGGAAAAATAGAAAAGCTGTTATTTTTAGTTTTTATGTGTGCCTGAGCGCGTGTGCACACGCGTGCACGTGTGTGTGTGTGTGTGTGTGTGTGTGTGTGTGTGTGTGTGTGTGTGTAAGAGAGTGCATGTCTGCCAAAGCACACAAATAGAGGTCAGAGGGCAAATTGTGGGAATTGGCTCTCTCCTTCCTCCCTGTGGATCCCAGGGACCCAACTCTGGTCATCAGGCCTGATAGTAAGTACCTTTACGCTGTGAGCCATCTCACTGGTCCTCAAGCATTGTTTTTACTTTTAGGGAACAGTCTCCTTGATCTGACACAGAAGGAAGGTATTGCTGTATTCAAGCTTTGAGGACACCACATCCCACTCTTGATTCTCAGCGTCTGTCTTACGGCTCACACTAGAGTTTCCACGTCTTTCCACCTTCTGAATTTCATTCTGGAAATTCTGACAAGGCTGTCCCTTGAGCTCATCCCTGTCAATAAGTGTCAGACAATGATGCTATTTCCTCCAAGACTTCTCTTTAACATAGAATAAAAGTGGGTAGGGACCAGACCTACTTCCTTAAAGTTGTAAAGAGAATATATTTTCAGCCAATCTTGCTTGAACTACCCAAACCCCTTTGTATATTTTCTGGGATACTGTCTCCCTAAGTCTCTCTCTTGCAACTGCACTCCATATGGGGTACCACCCCCATTCTCCACCATTCTAGTCAGGGGTAGGGATGGGTTGGTGTGGTCCATGGGCAGGCATCCCTTATGCTGCTTGGAAACTCTATTTGATCACGTGATGTAAGTCTGAGCTGCAGAGGACCCCAGGCTGTGCTCTGAGACAGAGCTTGCACTAACACACTGGTGTGCCTCAGAGGATTCTAACATCAACCACACTAGGGCACACTTGATGCACAATGGATCACATATTTAAAATCTACAATTTGGTAAAGTTTTGGCACATGTAACGGCTAGTGAAAACAACACTGCATCCAGATAACAAACTTATTCACTAGACCTCTCAACATCCTTGTACTCTTTGTGACATATCCCATACCCTTCCTATCTAAGCCTCCTTACCAACCACTGACTTCAGCCACTAAGGATTAGTTTGTGTTTTCTAAAACCTTATCAAAATAAAAATGAACATATTGGAAATTAAAATGTCTAGCTGAGCAGAAGTCAGCCTTTTAGGGCTTCATACATGAAGCTGTGTGATCCCATGGGTTGCTACTGTTTCTCCTTTCATCTGCTGAGGGACAGGTGGATTGGTGGCACTTTATGGCTATAGAAATATAGCTTTCATGAAGGTTCATGTACAGGTCTGTGTACAGGCACATTTTCATTTTCTCTTTTCTTAAGTAAGGATTTAGAAGTGGAATTATTGGTAGCTACATACTCAGCTTTTAAAGAAATTTCCATCTTTTTCCAAACTGGTTATGCCATTTTATATTCCCACCAGCAGAGTACAAGAATTCCAATTTTAGTTATTTGGAGATGTCACCATCAGTTTCTTTCTTTTTAAAACTTCTTCTAGTAGCTGGGTGGTGGTGGTGCAACTCTTTAATCCCAACACTCAGGAGGCAGATCTCTCTGAGTTCAAGGCCAGCCGGGTCTACAAAGTGAGTTCCAGGATGGGTTCCAAAGCTACACAGAGAAACCCTGTCTCAAAACAAACAAACAAACAAACAAAAACCTTTTAGCAGTGTGTAGCGATGGGGTGGCATGGTGTACATATGTGCACACCTGTGTGCCTGTGTGTGCATAAGCACTCACACACACACACACACACACACACACACACACACCACACCACACGGATGTCAGAGGGCAACTTTTCAGAGTTGAATATCTCCTCCCACCTTTATGTGGGTTCCAGAGACTGAACTCAGGCCACCAGACTTATACAGCAAGTGCCTTCACTCACCGAGCCCTGTGTTGGCCTTCTTTTCTTTTTCCCTCCTTCGGTTATGGTGATGACTGTCATTGACCTATGACATGGGAGAACACTCGGTCCCGGGAAGAATCCCTGGGTGAATGCTCATCCCCTTTACCTGCCTGTGCTTGCCTCCAACTTCCTTTGAGGCCTGTAGCCCCATCTTAGCCCTAAAAGAAGAGCTGTGGCCACAAGTCCTCAGCCCAGATGCAGTGTGCAGACCAGCTCCGAACTCCAGAGTCAGAAAGAGGGTTCACTCCGAGATCTCAGGTGCTTAGACATTTGTAGCCCTGGGCAAAGAACTGGCCTCTTGCCGACTGGCAGGTGGAAGGCTGTGCTGTGTAACTCAGCTACAAAAGGAAATGGTAAATTATGTGTGGTCACAAGCTAATGAGGCTGGAGGCATGTGTTATATTTCAAAGGTCACAGTGCTCATTTAATCCAACGTTTCTAAACATACTTTTACATCTACATTGTTAAATTTCCTTAGACACCACAGCCTTCATGATGTAGTCATCAGCAAGTAACTCTAAAACCCTGGAAGAGTCCCAGGGAAATTTGGGTACAGTGACTAGTCAAGAGAGCCCAGTGTGTCTCCACAGGACCAATCGCTTTACCTTTGGTCTCCACAGCCTCCACGCAGTCAGTTCTCCCCATGACCCAAAGGAACATGTGTCTGGAAGACTGTTTCCACACTAAAATTTGCTTCTAATTTTTTTTTTTTTTTTTTTGTGTGTGTGTGTGTGACAGGATCTAATGAACCCAAGCTGGCCTTGAACTCACTGTGTAGCCAAGGATGACCTTGAACTTCTGATCTTCCTGCCTTCCTTCTTGAAATTAAGATGTGCACCACCGAGCTGGATGAGCTGGAAATGGTGTCACATACTTTAATCCCAGGATTTAGGAGGCAGAGACAAGGGAATTTCTGAATTCACGGCCAGCATGGACTTTAAGGAGAGTTCCAGGACAGCCAGGACTACACAGAGAAAGCCTGTCCCCCAAAAAACAAAACAAAACAAAACAAAAGTGCCCAGCCATGCCAGGAATGCAAGGCTGACATCCTACCAACTGAACTACACCCCAACCTTCAAACTGGGCTTTGAAAGTACATATTCATTTGTTGAACAAAAAAATGGGGTTGGGGAGATCTTGTTATATTGCCCAGGTTACCATTGCTTTTATGGGAATCTTCCTGCCTCAGCCTCCTAGAGTGCTGGGATTACAGACATATGCCATTACCCCTGGCTGACAATGACCAAAAGGATGGCACCCTTGGCTAACTCACAGGCTCTGGGACAAGTGATGTCTGGATTTGATCTTCAGCTCTGCCACTTTGTAGTTACTTAGCTTTGAATGAATCACTGACCCTCAGTTTCTTTCTTGGCTATGGGACTAAGAGCACCCACACTGTAGACAAGGAGTAGAGTTCACCTTTATAAATAGCGAAGCCCTATACTGGAGACAAATTCAACGCTTGCTAGTAAATATTCATTAACCAGCAGCCCTCTTTCTTTTTATATTCTATTTTTATACAAACATGTAAAAATTATATAAAATAATTTGAAGAGACAAGGATCAAGGTTTATATATCCTGCCTTTGATGCAAACTACTGTAGAGTTCAAAGGGCTGGTCATGACCTCTCCTTGGCGTAGCTCGATGAGAGTCCCCCCTACTTTGAAACAGGGTGTCATTGCACCGTGGGAACAGGCTGCAGAGAAATCTTGCAAAGGCCTTGTCAAAAAGCAAACAGATGATAGGGTTAACACAGCAGTGCGTGGTGGCAATGAGCTGTGTGACCTGAAGACTTGCGTCCAGGTGGTAGCTGTTCTTTTCATCCTGCAGGGACAAGTGTTCCTGGAACTCGGACAGGAAGAGTGCGATATTGTAGGGTGCCCACATCAAAAGGAACACAGCCATTATGACAAAATCAAGCTTCTGAAGATCATTCTGCCTCTCCCTGAAGGTCTGCGTTTTCCTCATTTGCCCACAGCAGAAGATAAAAGCCACCAGAGGAAAACCAAGAACCAAAATGTTCATCTTTGAAGTCAGAAAATACTTCCAGAATGGCTCTTCAACTGGCAAAAAGTGAGGTTTGCCAAAGGCACACTTGTGTTTCTGTCTTTCCATCTGAGGCTGGTAAAACACAGATTCAGGCAAAGTAAGTGCAATAGCCGTGATCCATGCCAGGATACTTGTAACAATACCACTGGGCACTGTCCTGACCATGGAGGACAGCGTCCCTTGGGAAAACAACTTGCACCCTTGCACGAGGAGAAGGATGTTTAAAAGCGTCTCACTGTACAAGCCTGTGGAGTGGAGTCCAACAAGAACTTTACAAGTCCCATTGCCGGGGCTTTCCCCATGTGCGGCAGTGTGTGCCCAGAATGGCAGGGGAATCAGGAAGCACAAATTCGAAACTGCCAGGTTTAGAAAGTAGATGTTCCTCACATTCTTGAGTCCTTTGTATTTCAGCAGGATAAACACAGCCAGCACGTTGAACAGGAGACCCACCGCAAATACAGAGCAGCAGAACTGCAGTACCTGCTGGGCAGAGAGGAGCTCGGGGGTGAGGGCTTGCTCCGTCCCATGGATGTCCAGGTCATCCTGTATGAGGACATCATAGTCATCCTCGGGGGCCACCGTGTAACTATCCATCTTGGGCTGCCCTGTGGGGAAACCAGAGATCATGTTTCCCCTCCATCCTCCTGAAAGCAAGTGTGGTCCCTACTCCCCAGAGTGGCGGCTCTGCTCAGTCTACTCATTAAGTACCCATAACACACCTTAAAATAGTATTCTACGACACCCAGGGACTGAGCTGGTACTGTGACAGATATGCCCAGTACCAAAGGAGCCAGGGACACTACAGTTGGTTAAATTCTTTTGGTTAAAATGAGACTTGCTTAATAGGAGATAGGATCTAAGAAAAGAAAGAGTTAAAAACAACCAGAGAAGTTGGTGCCCCTCCTACTTCCCAGCTATTAAAAAAAAAGTTTCCTTACCTTGATCACGGCTTGAAATGAAACAGCGAAACAGCAGTCTTGGGGCAGGCTGCTTGATATTTTCCTCTCAAGGGATATAAACAGATGTTTGCAAAAGTGAAACCCCACTGGTCAAGCACGTGGACAAACTGGTGAGATAAAGATAACCACTTGACTGAGTTCCCAAGGGTGGGGAAGGGTACAGCCCCATGATCTACCATCCAGGGGGCTGTGGGAACACTGGGGTCAGGGAAGCAGCACTTCCTTCTGAGCAGACTGCTCCTGACCCCGAGGAGCTAGAGAACGCTCTGTTTATGCCTCCGAGGCTCTCCCTTCCAGGCACGGCTTTCAAGGGCCAGCTGGAATGAAGTTCTGAAGTCTCACTCAGGAACTTCTGTCAGCCTCGGAGAAACTGAGAAGTTGTTTTTGTCTCTCCCTCTCCCAGTATCCCATGTTAGGCTCCCAGGTACCTTTTAGTTAGCTGTCCTCCAAGCTGCCTTAGATAAGGGTGCTAAGTCAAGCCTGCTCCCACTGATAATAAGAGGGTGATGTCAGAAGCTGAGCTGTGCTGCCACACCTCCTTGGCTTCTGACATAAGTTCCCCGAGTAGATAACAGTTTCCAGAGCACAAACGTGAGATCTGGTGAGATCACCAAAGATTTGACCCTCGAAGGCAGTTGTCACCAGCAAGGGTGAAAAGCCACTTCACTGAAGTAGGGCAGAGACTAGTGACCCGAAGGGAAACACAGGGTGAGTGGGTGGGTGTCGGTTTTCTGTTTGTTCTTTCTGCCATCTTTGAGAAAGGCTGAGCATTTTTGCTGATGGACAGAGCTCTATGAGATGATTTGAGGAACATGGGAGCCAGAGTGATATCAGTAGGAAGGGAAATTGAGAACAGAGTAGGGCAGGGAGGGACTGTTGCTGAATGCCGGACTGCTGTGGACATTCCTACTGAGGAAACCGAAGAGTGTTGCAAGCAGCCGGGAGGAAGCAGTTAGTGCTGGGACACTTGGCATAGCTGACTCTGCTCAGGGAAAACCCCTGAAGAAAATCCTGGGTGAGGATCTGTGGGGCCTGATCAGGTGGGAGACACTGTGAGGAAGTCAGGCTTAGGCTCACGTGGAGGATGGAGATGAAGACAGGAAATCGACAATTGCCCTGCCTTGGAGTAGCGGAGAGAGGGAGAGGAGAAGAGTGCAGTTTGAAGATAAGGATCATAGAAGAGGAACCTTAAAGAGCTGAGGAAAAAAAATGTATGAACTGCCCTCAGGCCAATTACTCTGTGCGTCCGTCCGTGACTGCGCTACTCTGGGGACCAGTCGGCGTCTCTGATTTAGGCACATCCTTTGCATCATCAGTGACGTGATACAGAAAGTGTACTATAAAAATAGACTAGATAATGAGGAGACTACTAAGAAAATATAGAAAGAACCGGGCCCAGATAAACTGGACTGAGCATTAAGCTCCCAGCATCAAGGCAGTCAGGCAGAAAGGAAAGCAGGGTTAGTGCAGTGAGAACCTGGATGGAAGGGCTTCCCAATAAGGCCTCTCCCGCACTTTTGGAGAGCATCTAGGGGTGAGTGGGGATTGCTGGGACATGGCTACAGCTGAGAATCACGCCAGTCGTCACCCTCCTCCTGAGACCTGGCCCTCTGCAGCTAGATGCCTGGGAGCCACATGACACCTGGTCTGTGAGTGAGTAGGCTAAGTGGCTCATAGTTCACTCCCAGACAGAGGACGGATTCAGAAATGTGTCCACGCTCATTAGATGGTAAGGTGGTGGGGACAGCTTCATGTCACACAATGATGGGAAATTGAAAATTGCTTGAGGAAAAAGGAAGAGTCTGTCATTCAGGATCACTCTAATTTCTCCATCACTGTGGCCTTCACTTTCAGTATGGTTTTACTTTTGTCTAATTCCCAGCATTCTGCCTGTTCACACTCAGGCCTTAGGATTTTTTTTTCAAATTAGCATACAAAATAATGTGTTTCGCTATGACATATTCATACACACATGCCATTATTCTTTATTCTTATCCGTCCCCAACCTCAATGCTCTGCCTATTTGCCCATCCCTTCTTATAGTCCTCTTTCTACCCCCAAACTGTTTCTCTTTCTGCTTTCATGTCCCATGGGTTCTATCACCCTTTCTTTGTCTTGCTCTTTCCCTAAGATTTCTTCCTCTCCTCTCATGGCCTCCTTTCTAGTCTCATAACACACACATGCACACACACATACACACACACACATACACACCCAGGAGTACACACACGCACATAAAACGCATACATACACACACATTCACACACACACATGTAGGTCTAGATCCCACATATGAAAGAAAATATGCAAGATTTGTCTTTCAGAGTTGGGCTTATTTCACTTTGCGTCATGATTTTCAGTTTTGTTTTTTGCAAATGTAACAGTTTCATTTTCCTTTGTGGCTGAATAAAATTCCACAACGTCTGTATGTCAGTTTCCTTGTCCATTCTTCTGTTGATGGGCATCTAGACTGGACCCATTTCCTAGATGTTAAGAATAGTGCAGCATAAAGATGGTTGTGCAAGTGTCTCTGAGGTCTGGTGACACAGAGTCACTTGAGCATCTACCCAAGAGTAAGTAGCACAGCTGGGTCCCATGACAGTTTTAGGGTTTGTTTTGCTTTTGTTTATTTGTATGTTTGTTTTGAGGAACGTCCATTCTGATGTTGTTTTTGTTTGTTTGTTTGTTTGTTGCCACTACTGGGGGTTGAGCCTAGGACCACATGCTGGTCAAGTGCTCTATCACTGAGCCACCCCACCCCCACCCCCACCCCGTTGTCATACTGATTTCCATCTTGGCTATCCCAGCTTACATTCCCACCAGGAGTGTAAGGTTCCGTTTCCTCATGTCCTCATCAGCCCTTGTTGTTTTCTTTAAGGCTATGAAAAAGCCTTGAGCCCAGAGGTTCAAGGAAAGCTTGCTTTGGCATCTGAAAGCCCATCAAGCCATCATCTCCGTCAGTTTTCCATCACTGTGACACAATGTTTGAGGCAATCAAGTTTAGAGATGAGGAAAAGCTTATTTTGACTTTCAGAAGTTTCAGTCCATGGTCGCTCAGCCTCTCACCTCTGGGACTGTGACAAGGCAGTGCTTCGTGGTGGCAACACATGGCAGAGAAAGCTATTTGCCCATGTTAACTGGGAGGTGAAGGGAGAGGGGGAGTGGTTGGGGCCTTAATATTCCCTCAAGCACAGTCACCAGTCACCCCATGACCTCCCACTAGGTTCTACCTTCTGAAGGTCCTACGGCAAAGTGCCCAGACTCGGAAGTCTGTTTACACACGAGTCTTGAGGTGGCCCTACCGAAGCCGCAGCATCCTTGTGAAACTGAGGCACCTTCTAAAGTTTTAGCATGAGGCTCACAAGACCTTAACACTGAAGGTCTGAGTTCCTTCTTATCACTGTAACTCAACCTGCTGCCAGTCTAAGATGCTATAACCACACACTTACTCTCCCCTGCATGAAAATCATCCATTCATTCAGGGAACATTTCTAAGGTCCTAGAATGTGCCCAGCCCTGCCCCAGACGCAGGAGATAGAATCAGTGAACAAAAGAGGCAAAAGTCCTCCCCTTCAGAGAGCTCATGTTCAACAGACAGAAACAAAATAAGTACATTGTGTTGATAGTTGGTAGGCGAGAGGGGCTGCAGGGAAAAGTGAAGTCAGGAAGACTGGAAGGAGCAGGTGACTCAATAGTGACAGACAGCCTGGATGAGCTTGTGGAAAGGGAAGCCTCAAAGGATTGTGCCCCATTGGTTCTATCTCCTTGTTACAAAGTTCTCACTCCAGAGGAAGCAGTGTTTTTACCAAAGATTCAGAGAGACAGTCCTCTAGTATATAGACACTCTATTTAAACAAAAAAAAATTTTCTTGAGACACGGTCTCATTGTGTAGCCCTGGCTGACCTGGAATTTGTTAGATAGACGGGACTGCCCCTGAACTCACAGAGTCTGCCTGCCTCTGCAGGTGCTGGGATTAAAGGCGAGCGTCACCATTCCTGGCTTAACTTTTGATTTTAAAAGCAAAGGACACAGTGCGCCAGCCATCCCTGGAGAAGGGCCCTGGACATCCTCCAAGTCCCCTTCTTTGGGGGCTCCATGTCAGCCTGGAGGCAAAGATGGCTCTCTGAACTGGCATTCCTGTGTTCTTTAGAGTTCTCCTTACTCTCTTCAGCCACCCATCCCCTCAGTTAGTAATCCTTTATATATAACGTCTGTTGTTCAAGTTGTCGGTATGGTTTCTGATTGACACATTATATTCAGCTCAATAACAAACAGGATGGAAAATGCTAGATAAGATAAGAACTGAAGGATGTCAGTTTCCAGGGATCTAGCTTGATAATGAGAGATGAATATTAGTTGCTTAGCAATATGGTAACCACATTATTCCTGTCAAATATCTCCTTTCTCTTATTTGTATCCCCCTATCTATATTATCAATTACCTATGCATTTATTAGATACCTATCATTCATCACCTACCTATAACTACTTATCTGTCCATTACTGGGCAGCAGACTGGAAGAGTAAACAGTCACGTGTTATAATTTCAGGGTCATTTGTTTGTGCCACAGAGATGGGACAAGATTAGGGAAAGTATTGGAACTCAAGATCATGGCATTTTCTTGTCTATTGATGTGTGACTGGCTTTCCATGAAACTCCGGAGCCAAGAGTCAGGCTCTGGATTGCATTCCTAGGAATCCAGAGCTTTGAGAGGCAGAAGTGTGACTAAAAAGCTTGTCACGCAGGGGCTCCCAGCTTACCTCTCTGTGGGGCATAGGATGAGACAGCACCAGGCAGAGGAAGAAGTGACCATAATGTGGTAACAACTGAACTCTCAGCTGGCCCTATATGAGCTGTGGCACTGGGATGGCCCTTGGAAGCTGTCCTGAACGTTGGTGACCAGGCCATGTTCCTGCAATCCCACATCAGCCATTGTCCTTAGCTGTTTCCTGGGAGCTGGCACTGCCTAGAGGACAGATGAGGGAGGCAGAGGCAACGGCCCTGAAGAGGGCGTTTGGGCAGGTCCCACAGCATCCTCTGTGACACCAGAGAGCTCTAGACTTCCTAAAAACTGTGTTTACCTCAAAATAACAAGAAATGGAAACGAAAATGTCCAAACCCACAGTGTCGTAAGTCCAGGGAACCCACACGGGGGCTTTAGCATATTTAAAAGAGGAAGTCACATGTCCTGTGAGGCCACACTGCCTCTTGCTGCATGTGGTCATTTGGTTGGCTACTCATCTAGTGTCATCCGAGTGCAGAGGAGGTCAGAGGGAAACTGAGATGCCCCCCCCAGCCCTTCCTTTGTTCTTTTCTTCCCTACCAAGTTAGTCACTCTCCAGTTCTCACAGGGTTGGGTTGGGTGGGACAGACACAGGTCCACTATTAATCATATCTCACATGAATAAGAAGAGCTGCTTCTGTGAACAGAGGTTAAGAAAGCAATGTAGGGGTCTGGGGAGATGGCTTAGTCAGTCCTCAGAACCCATGTAAAAAGATCTAGGCATGATAGCACAAGCAGACTCCCGAGTTCTCACTGCCCAGCCAACCAAGCTGAATCAGGACGTTCCAGGTAAGTGAGAGATCCTGTCTCAAAAAAATAAGGTGTCCTGAGGAACCACACCCAAGGTTGACCTCTGGGTTCCACATACACTGCCAAATATGTGTACAAAATGCATACATGAAATATGCACACATGAACATGTATGTACATACAAAAAAGCAACACACAAAAGCATTCTCATTTAAAAATATTTTTTTCAGAGCTAGGAATATAGTTCAGTGGCAGAGCTCCTATCTAGAATGCGTGAGGCCCTAGATTCTGCTCCCAGTAACACACACACACACACACACACACACACACACACACAGAGAGAGCGAGAGAGAGAGAGCGAGAGAGAGAGAGAGAGAGACAGAGAAGAGAGAGAGAGAGAGAGAGAGAGAGAGGGAGAGAGAGAATCCTTTTAATGAAATGTGACCCATTTTCATTATGTAGAGAAAGGGTTTGGTGGGACCTTCTCTGCAGCCTGGGTGACTATCTTGGGTCCTGCCCAGGCCCAGGCCCAGGCCCATGTGAGCCAAGTTGGGCACTGTGAAGGTCTTGGTTTCTTTTTGCCAGCACCCCACAGGGATGGTCCCTGAAGCTCCTCTGTGGCTGTACTGCCACTCCTGACCCAGGCCCAACAGCGTCTAA